TTCGCTGACTGAATCAAAGAGTGCTCTTCAGTGAGTTCGAGAATTTGTTCTTCGATCGTGATGAGCGTTGCGTAGCGGTCGGTCAGGAGAGAGTGGAGCGCGACGAGTTGTTCAAGCTTATTTTCCCGGCCTTCCGCGTCGGTGATTTGCTTCTTCTGGGTTTCGGCTTTGTTGAAAAGTCGTGTGAGCTGCCCTCGTTGACTCCTTCGCTTCAATTTCAGTTTTGCCAATGCGTTTGTCGTCTCCACTGCTTGGGCATCAGCAGCGGCGTTTTGTGGTGGCTGTTCTTCTGACATCGTGTTGAGCTGAGATATCCTGGTCTAGGTCACCAAATTATGTGGGGTATAATAATACGCTTCAGTTGAACTTGATGGCAGAATAAAAGTCAATGTGGATGCAAAACACGGTATGGTTTATTGCTGGATAAACTGGCATAGAAACATGTAACACATGAATAAGGAGCCCCGAAACTCCGAAACTAGCCCTTTATATGGGTGCGAATCGAACGTGAGAGAAAACACGTAAGCGGGAAATACAAAATGAAGTACGCGGGAGAAAAAGATACAATACAGAGTAAAATGATTGGCTGAAATTAAATGATTCTAATTGGTCGAGAATTACTCAGAGGAATCCTTCATGCGAAAGGTAAACGAATTAACTATAGCGAAATGACATGTAATAATAATATTAGCAATATGAAAACGAATACAAATATATATTATGAATCTCCGACAACACTTCCCATATACTGAATGCCTGCAGCATTTTAATGCACCATTAATTTAATTAGGTAATTTTACTTTCAGTATTTGAGATTCAGTACGTGTCGTAAATTCAAGCTATGCTATATGTAAATGTATGTATGTGGGGGAGGGGGCAACCACCAAACTGCATTTATGAGAAAGATATTTTCTATATTGCATGTTCTTCTGAATTTGAATGACAGTTTACCAATCACAAAACGATACTTTACCCATTCCTGCAAGGCATATGCAGATAGATGCATGATCAAAACATGCTCAGTTAAATTATATTCCTAATTGTTTGTTTTTTTATTTGTTGACATGGTTGTCATGACTGGCGTAATTTACTTTAACATGAAAATAGTATGAATCATTCTGGTAGTTCCTCAAAATTAAAAATGACGAAGCAAACGACGGACTAAACTCCTCTGCAAATTTTATTATTTTTTGAGATTAACATTATACAACTAGACAGATAGTTGCCATTCAATGATTGACTTTAACTAAATGGACGCCTTGTCCTCATTGCAGAATACGTATACATACGGGATATACACATATAAATATATGTGTGACATATTCGTGCGATTTGAATATGGGAAACCCCCTTATTTACTTCGCGATGCGCATGTGCGGTTCCGTTAAGATGGTTGCTGCTATGTCGTCGTTAGATTTATAAGAGTTTTTCCGTTTTGTTTCACCGTGAAAACACACGGTATTACAGACAACAGCTACACAGGTGAGTGAATAGTGATGTAGTCGACAGACTTGAATCAAATCCGGCTTGAGAGATATATTGTAAGGAGCGTTTTGACGTGTTTTATTGGATCGTCTTGGATATTGTCATCATAATATTGACATCACGTGATACAGGGTATTTAACTCGCATAGACTGTGTCTACAACCACTCAGATTGAAGCAACGTTCTGAAAAACTATTTAATGACGCTCATCTCCATTTTGCTACTTACAGTTGTACCGACTATTTGGGGGGGGGGATAATATGTGGTAATTGGGTAGAATTAGCTTACGTAATTGATTGTTTCGAGAGACCTGTGAGTAAAGTCTTCCGATCGTCGGTTGGCAGATTGCCAAACGTGTGTTGATAATTGACACATATCCAGGGTATACGGCTAAGAGGCAGGCAAGTCTCATTAGTACCGCCATGTCCCGCACATTTAAAGACGTAAGGTGGATATTACTCTAATGCAATTTCGAGAAAAATATCGTAGTGCGTCCATGTAATAATATTAATAATAATAATAATAATAACATCAATGTAGTGTAAAAACACGACGACAAACTAACTTATTAGTAGAATATATAGATGTGCACTGTCTGTATTTCAACATGGTACTTAGTACACACATTGCATTAATTTTATAAGTAACACTTCTGGTTACAATAGGGATTTTAGGATTCATCTGATTTGTTGCATTCCTTTGTATTGTTTTTCGTACATTCACTCACTGTGTCGTACACTATCGTGAACGACAACCCTCACACTACAGGATAATGAAATACCGTATTTGCACTGTAATGTAGCGGAGTCTAGTGTAATATGGCGTGGCGCTGTGTACCACAAACAAGCATCTAACCCCGAATTCTCCTTTTTCGCAGTAAAGAAACTAGTTTGTTATATGTCGAATTATATCTATCATACCATAACTAGACAACCGACATTTCGTAAAATGGGATGACACACTTAAAGATGGCTGAGTCATCACCTACTTCAGACAATGCCTCGGCGGGTAAGTATTAATCAAAACGGTATGGTGGACACATTTTCTCACAAATTGAGAACAATTTGCTTCTAAATATTATTTCTGTGATATTTATTTGTATTTAGACAACAGCCAAATAACAATCTTAAAACATGCATTCATGTATCAGAGAATGTTTCCCAGGAGGTATGCTTGGTCGGAGTGTGAGAAGCGATTATGTTAATGTGTGCGTGTTTCTGTAACAGGAAACACCATTATTAATGTAAATGGTAACGACAACACTGTAATGGTATTCAAAAACAATAACGACTCGAATGTGACTATTCAGTATAGAGACGGACATGTAGCGTCCCAAAGCGAGAAAACGGAACCTGTGACTGATGTAGGACTACTTGTTAGTTGTGATGAACGGGCGACAACGTCAAGAAAAAAAGGTAAGTACGATCAATCAATATATGCTTTTACAAAAGCAGGTAAAAGGTGAGTTTGTAACTCAATGCGCGGAACCATTGGTCACTTTGCCCTGGGAAATGCTATGTGCCGTTCGTGGCACGGTTCTCCGAACACAAAGCCAGTGTTCACTACAATTTCATATATAAGTATTGTTGTGTATAGGGCCAATAAAAACACTCACAAATCCCGTTTCGGAATACAGTTCACATTTCTTGCCTATTAGATACACAAGGTTAGTTCATATACGTACATATCAATACATGTATCAAGCATCCAGTGAATACTCCGTTACCGTCGTCGCAATCAGGCAGTAAGTAGATGTAATGTTAAACATGTCTAAAAATAACCGCGGATACAATTGATCGCTTAGACTGTCGTCAGTCGGTCGTACCTAATATTAATCTGTTATTATTAATAAATATTGTGTAAAAACGTAATAGGCGTGAATAAATTGCGAACGCCGGGACAGCAAGTATGCAGTGCCGTTAGGCACGACCGACTGTCTGGTGCTGCAATTCACTGGTAAGATTTCTTACCAGATTCGGGTACTTTCATTTGCAAATGAATAGTCGCGCAGATGTCTAACATTTTAACGTGGTCAATCGTGAAAAGGGTCAGGGGTCGCTGGCTATTATCATCACCCACGACTTACGCGAAGTTTGTTTTGACTGTACTACTACGCGATCGCGACACTTTCCACAGCAGTTTTTGATATCATGACACAAACAAGTCTTGACGAATGCATTATAAAAGTGCTGGAACGTTTAGACTACCATGATATTTCTTGCAAAGAATACCAGCGAGACACTATCGCAAACTACACAAAGGGGAGAGATGTGCTCGTCAGCGTGCCATGTTGATATACGTCTTGTCAAAAAGAACTTGTTTCGAAACTTGTTTCAGTTGGCATTTTCTTAGATGAAAAATGCCTGCGAGCTTTCCAATAACTCTCGCTTAGTTTGTGGAAATTTCTTCCTGAGTCATATTCACTGTGTTCATAACGTAGACGACCAACGCATTCAGGGGGTCATTTAGAATACATTTGCTTACATTATGTTAATATAATTTATTTCGTGACGTCAGCATCTACTATGAATTATTCATATCAACTAGAAACCTGCAGACGGGGACAGTCTCTCGGGACTAAAGTTCCTCGCGTGAAATGTTTCGCATTTCCCATCAAACGTCTACGGCGTTCGAATGTCAAGGAAACACAATTACATTAGGCCCGAGGACTGTCGACAGTCTATTGATCGCTGTCAGATCCCCATTTACATAGCCTTGTGTAATTCCTCACCCGTGACTCAGTAAAGTGCTTATAACATCGTGCTGTTAAAAAAAATCATACCATGACACACGAGTTTCTGGAACCTCATTGTCTGATTCATCACCATGGAGATTGACGTGTCTCCTCAAAGAAACGGATCGAATTCCACGAATTGAAGTGTATACGTAGAAGCAGTCCAAAGGTTGCGTGCGCATTTCGTTGTTAGAGGGCGCACTGTGATTATCAGTGGGCTAAACAGTACCATAATGTATTTTTATTTATTCCATCCAGGTTCCGCTTCGAAATACGTCCGTGACTGCCCACCAAATATTCGTACCAAGTATCGTACACACCCTGAGCAAGATTACTGGTTTGTATTGTAATACAATTCATTGTACATTTATTTTTATTTAATGTGTCTTGTACATCGCCCTAAAGTCACACACTATAACGAAAATAATTCACAGTTGTTGCAATTTTGAAAAATTGGATTTCAATGACAATTGTATTTCTTCAAATATAATCAGGGATTTCTCATTTATTGTGATTTTGTACCTTACTGTGAAGCCAAGCTTAAAACATATTATTTTGACATATGAAAACATATATGCGCGGGCGTTGAAGTGGCACAGAATTAATGTACAAATACGCATGCTCTTTTATTTGTTTGTACGTACCAGTAATTCAAAACACATGTGCGTTATCGGAGTTTGTTATACATTACTTCGAATATCATTCTGTGCATCGAGAATATTATCATGTAATATCAATTAACATTATGTTTAATATTTTGTTGTTGACAGGTCCACTCAAAAGTGAGCGTTACAAAGAAATTGTTGTAAAATTGTCCTACTTAACGCAGCGTGGTGAGTTGTCATTTAATTAACTAACAATCCAGATATGATGTGTAACTTGGCAACTACCATTATATTTTTTCAGCTTTTTACTAGTAGTCTTTCATATATCAATGTACATGTATACCAACAAAAATTCATTTGCTAATTTATTAGTAATTGGAAAAAAATAGATAAGTAACTAAAACATATAGTGTAGCGAGCCTTCGTTGTTAGTGTTAGTAAAATACGAAGAATTTCGAGCTCTCATTTCTGTTCCTCCATAAGCCACCTCGATGAGTTAATGTTATTTTCTTATTGACACGAGGTCTGTGGACCAAGTTGCACCGCTATTGTGAACAGCTGTATAGCAATCTAAGAACATGTGAGAACACCGATTTACAAATAGTGGTTTTGTCTTACGTAAGTGTTCCATATTATCTTGAGAAATTTGCCATTGACGCAATTGTTATATATCCACATCTTTATCAACATTACAATCTGTCACACGCAACGTAATATTACCGTAATTGGTATAGTACAGGTGTGATGGTTCAAATACCAAAATGGCAACAGTAACAGAAAGACTTCCCTGGCGGCGATGATAACATACGAACACGGAGCCAACAGATGAGGTTTCAACTGGTACTGGTATTATTATAGTCTACAAACATCAAGTACAATAACGCGGTAAAACTCCACTACTCCAATAACTAGATACTTAAACTCCAATACAATTCAACGAGATCTTCGGTCTGAACTCAGTGCTGAACAACTCCCCTATATATACCCCCACTGTCTATAAATAGACCATTACATCAGCATACATAATGAGTCTGGAACTTACTACAAATTTCTAGAATGTTCCATTACCTTCTATTGCCTCCTACAGTGTTCTATTACCCATTCAACCATTTTCTAAAAAAATATAGAATATTCCACCCAGACACAGTACGGTTCTAGAACATTCTCAGTGACACGGAAGTGGTAAATAAGTCGTATGCGACACAATCATGTTCAGTACATCCTATATATTACACAGCAAACTATTGCGGAGTGTCTACAGATGAAGATGTACAATGCAGCGGAACACATTGCGTTGATGACTGACCTACTTCCACGAGCATTAAACAGGGAGTTTCTGAAAGCCAGACTATATTATGTGAGAGGATACAAATCCCGAAAAGACTGCGATTACGTCAATGCAGCTAAGTACTTTGAATGCGCGTTGAAGGTGATTATTTTCATTACTGTGTGAGGATTTATATATTATCCCGAACAATGACTTGTGGCTGATGCCGACGAAGCATACAATAAGAAAGTAAATGGCAAAGACGATTATGATATCTGTAGTAATTTAGCATTGTGATACGGCAGGGTTCTCCCCAGGGCGTTATAGAGTAGGGATTCCCAACTGATTAATTTTAAAATATCAATAGAGCCAATTTAGCACACAGTGCAGGTGATTAACATATTCTATTATTATGTAATTTCGCCGATTCGCTATTTTTATGGGGAAAACACTGTATGGTTAAGCATATTTTTTGAATATTTAGATATTTCAGACATTTGAACCATGTGTGTTTCATGGAGCAGCACTCTTTCACCAAGCATGTGTGAAGTATGCGTGTTTACCCAGTACATGGACTGGAAACCTCTTACAGGTGAACTTTCTTATTTTGGGGGATATAATATAAGGGTGTTTGTGAACTCATGATAATGAAATGCGCGGTTCGAATTAGTCACGAGTTTGTTTCCCAGAATGTGTTTATTTTTTTTGAGGTTTGGCTTGCCTCGTATTTATTCAAATAAATGGAAGAGAATCACGACAAGCCTAAAAATTAGTGAAGATCCCTTATATACACAGTGGGATGGAGGATTTAGCATAATGTAATACCGTAGTAATCAATGTGTTTTTCTTGTCGCTATGTATTCAACATGATAACATTTCATTGTTTCATAACATAGGATGTTATTGATGATATTGACAAGGCTTCACGTATGTTCCAATCATCGGACCTTGAACTAAGTTTCAACATTCAGCAACGTGCTATCGTGAAACAAGCCATGGTACTGATCGATTGCGATAACAGTGTTGGCAGACAGAGAGAATTATTAGGCGATGTTGTTAGAAAGGTCAAGAGGTCGCGGTTCCTACTTAAAAGTCTCAACATGTACAAAGATCCAGTGAATCCATCCAAATATACCAATTGTAATTACCTTTTAGGGCAAGCTAATTGTCATTATCGATTAGGGGAGCATTTATTTAAAACTTCTCCCGGTGAGTCGCTGACACATTACGTAAAAGCTAAATTTTTTGCACTGGATGCACTCTGTGTAGCTGAAAAACATACATTTAATTCTGAAATACGTTCTATTAATTTCTTTCTAGAAGATGTACTTCCAAAGATTCGCTGTTTTAATGAAGCGAAAATCTGAACCACAAAATAGTATAACGAAGGAAATTTGACATCATTTAGCTTGTAGTACACCTAGAATTACCGGCCAGAAAAATCACCAGCACATAAACTTGAATATAATATCACTACTACTCAGCATAGGCATACTCCACTTCCTACATATTTTTATCTATAAAGCTAAACGAACAATTACAATTTTCATTTGCAGTGTACACTTTTTGCTCGATTCTTTCAACAAGTACGAATAGTGTATATTTATATATAATCTAAAATACCTAATCTTCACGGTTATCCTACGATTAGAAACAATCTCCCGAAAACCTTATTTTATACGTTACGCCCTCTAGTGATGAAGCGGGTTTATGACGTAATTGGGCGACATGAATGCCATTCAAATCGTCGATATCGTTTTGTTCTGAAGTTGTCCATCAATGACGATTACATTTTTGAGAAATCTAATTATATTTAAAGATGACGAACGACAACACCACGAAACACAGATGTTCATTTGAATGACATTGCCTTCGAACGTATACATGTTGACGTCACTGAAGCTTTATGTAACTAGAGGGCGCTATTTATAGAAATACAATTTATTTGTATATCAATTTGCTAATGAAGATCAAAAAGCCAAGTGTAGTATTCTCTATAAGATAGGGAAGAATGAAATTATATTTCAATGCATTTCCAAAGCATTTTGTAATTTAATGAAAACCATGCAGAAATATACAGAAATATATTGTATAAACATTTGTTATATATACGGAAACTCAATTTGGGCGATAAACACGTCAACTTGATTGTCATTCCTTGTTTACCATCTGTCTGTAGCCACCTATATTCAATGACTGGCAAAACACAACATTAATCATTTTTAGAGCAATCGTGGCCTCCTTGTGGCCTTTTTATGTAAATATAACATCATACTAATATGTACTTGATGATTTAAATCATTGCTCTGATGTGTTATGAACCTTGGTTTTACTAGTTTAATATTAGCATACAAATACGTATACGTATTTCTTAGAGTAATTTTATTTTTACATTTTAATTTAGTACTTAATGTGTGCAGTGAGTTTTTGTACTTTTTTCGATTAAATCCTATATAAAAATTGTTTATTATCGCCATGTATCTTATGTTGTAACTTCATGTGGTTTATATACTCACTACATGTGTATCACGACTTGCTCACTGCAATTCAATCAATACACATTAGTTACACGTTCTGTTATCAACAGAATCATATTATAAGATCTGACATGTCACCTGTTCATATTGAATCAGAGTTGGACTTTAATATTGATACTACGTCTTTATTGTATAATATATTTATCAAATTATATAATACATTATTATATATCAACATCGCTTGATTAGGAATTTACAGGAATACTTCTATGGAAATTGTAAATTCATACATAAATTAATTAATTATTACAAGTGGAATTCCAGATTGACATGATCTCAAAAGCGATTACAAGTAATTAATAAAACTTGCCTCAATAACAATAATAATCTACCATACATAATTCGTGGTCTAAAATTGTATAGATATTTTATTTATTTATTTGCTTGAATATAACCAGGTAAAGATAACCAAATCTCACCAAAATATTGAAGTAACCCCACACGATCTGATGTGAAAATCAAGGATGATTAAACGTAATTTTGATACAAATCGATCACGTGATGGAGATCATTGACAATTATGATGCACAGTATTATGGGAAATGACACAGCTTTAAACAATCCATTGTTCGAACATATGAACGAAAATACGGAATAGCCGTTCATGACATTGGGATATATTATATAGCATCGCTATTCATATGACTGAGCCATAGGACAAAACTCGCAATCCCGTTTAACATTCCTTCCCTATCAACACTCTTGGTCAATGGAGTAGCATGGTAGCACTTACATGGTAAGGTCGTCCGTATATCTACATACCACTCCAGACATTTGGTAGACCCAGGAATCCTGTTTTGGTTGCAGTCATGGCGATAACGCAGTTTACGTATACAATCATATTTAAAATAGCCGCAAATCATCACTGCCTCTTATATTCCTTAACACAGCGAATTCCCAAGTCATCGAACGTATTAGTCAGTAAATTGCATATTACACCATGCTAAACACTCCTAGCATGACTCACGAGTTCTTGGAACACCCCTATCTCGCTCATCACCATGGAGATTGACGTGTTTCCTCAAAGAAACGGCTACAATTCCACGAATTGAAGTGTATACGTAGAAGCAGTTCAAAGGTTAAATGTGCATTTTCGTTGTTAGAGGGCGCACAGTGATTTTCATTGTTCAGTAAACTTGTAAAGACGTATGTTTATTATATATATACGTGTATATATGTTACATTGTATTTTCAGCGAGCTATGCAGTCCACGTTTCATGTAAATCGTATAATTCAAAACTAAATTAAATTACCTATTGCTGCAAGAAATGATTTCAATACGTAGTACACTCTTTATCAAACTTCGACTACCCACAGTGTTTTGAACAGGCGTTTAAATAATCTATTGAGACTGCAAACAAAACAAAACAACAACAATTATAAATGCATCGTGGTAAAATGACAACATTGGTTGAAACTTGAAAATTGTTCGTTTTCCATATTTCATTATTGTCTATTTATTGTATTGTATATTTATTTTATCATCTTTCATATTATTATCAGTGTACACCAGCATTTGTTTGAGTGAAAGCTGAAATGCAACATATAATTATGCAAATACTCATGTACTTTAAATTGTTTGTACGTACCAGTAATTCAAAGCACGTGCACGTTATTTCATAATATATTATTCTATGCATTGCAATAGCACATAGACAACCAACAATATAAGAATATTACCATAACAAATATTGTCAAATAGCATTATATTTAATATATTTTGACAGGTCCACTGAAAATGTGTTATATATTCTCCTACTTAACGCAGCGCGGTGAGGTGTCAATCAAATCTACTGTAATCAAGACATTTGCAGACATTTTGTAATTTTGCAATTTATATTAAACAAGCTAGCTAGTGAGCACATCGAGGAGTTTGTTTAATTAATGTGTCATATGTTATCATGTTTTCATCTGTTATATCAATGTACATGTTTTACTGAAAAATGTCATTCATTAAATAATTAAAAAATTGTCAATAAATACTGGCATAGCGAACCTTTTTGGAGAAATCTGCCAAATTTGAGCTCCCATTTTTGTTTATCTTCCAAATCTGACTGCTCAATGAGTTAATGTTCTTACTTTCATCTCTTGACTCCAGGAATGTGGACACAGTTCCTCGCTATTGTGAACAGCTGTACAGCGATTAAGAAAATGTGAAAATACCGATTTAGAAACAGTGGTCTTGTCTTTCGTGAGTGTTTTACATCATCATTTGATCATCATTCGTGTTTTAAGTATTTCAGTGATACTAACAACTGTCGATGTGGAGAGTTGCAAAGTTCGAAAAGACTGCGATTACGTCAATGCAGCGGCGGTAAAGTAAAATTATTTTCAGCACAAACGGCTTCATAATACAGCGGCTTTAGAAAATTATTAGGCAATGTTGAAAGGTCAACTTAAAGGTCTTGTCACTTACACAGATTCAGAGAGCCCATTCATAAATACTAATTGTAACTGTCTATTAGGACAGGCTAATTGCCTAATTAATTTATCAACCCGACTACAAAAAACAAAATACTATACGTTGGATTCACTCTATTCTGAAAAACATAGATTCAATTCCGTAATACGATCTATTAATTCCTTCTTAGAAAATATCATTCCAAAGCTTCGCTGTTTCAATGAAACGATAATTGAACTGCTAAATTATTTATCGATTAGATTTGACACTATGTAGTTTAGCCTTTGTAACAATTTGTAACGATGAATCATTATTTAAAATGTTTGTTTTCGATATTTCTAAACGGGGATGAATGGATCTGGTTCATCGATAGAATTTTAAAATTTACCAATACATAAACAGCTTCCTACACTTTGAATTGACCTAATCCACATTTTGAATGATTTTTCCATGTCCTAATTTGAGGTTATCAAGGACGTTTTTAGTCTACTATATGATCTACGATCCAAGAAAATGGGCATAGTTAACATGTGATTAAATACAATCTCTAATACACCTTTCTTAAAAACCACTACGTCTAGGGACCTAGCGCTTCGATTGGGAAAATTATGACACGAAAGAGGTTCAAAACGTCGATATTGTTTTGATCTAAAATCAATGAAAATTACGTTATTGGGAAATCCTACTATATACTAGATGACGAACGACAACACTATGACCGTTTAATTCTCGTATTATTAAACGTCACGTTAGGTACCCCGGATCCTCACGTTCACAAACCTTTCAACCAAGCAAAGACACACACAGATGGTATTCGTGTCAACCTCTAGTAGCCGCCGCCTCATGGATAACTGACTTTATTGCCTTTCCAAAACACAGTCTACTACATGGAAGTTTAAGATCTTGAGGCGTGGCCTCCATACATTCCATTCATGTAGCCAATCACACAGGAAGTATTTAACACGCCATTATATATTTGATTAATTGTTCACTATATTGGAAGTTTAATCATATAAAACAGCAAAGTTTACAAAATATGTACGTTGGCAAAGTTTATATCTGTAATTTGTACTTTGTATAAACCCAAATGATAACAGGTTGTGGGCGAGCGCTGAATGATCTCGCCCAGCTTTCCACTAGAAACCAATTGCCAAGCCATAATCAATGAATTTCGTCATAATTGCCAAAACACGAACCGATATTTAACCTCATGAAAAGATAATCATGACAACACCACCAAACACAAGTGTTCATTTGAATGGCATTGCCTTCTAACGTATACATGCTGACGTCACAGTAGCTTTATGTAACGCTATTTATAGAATTGGTGTATTGTGAGAATTCGACGTATATATAATTACATAAACAGAACATTAGATCTGATATACGCACAGTTGCCATTTATTGGTAATCAAGTTGTCAATCGTAGCATTCTCTATAAGATATGTAGAAAATACAATTATTACATATGTACTGTAGTTTATTTTGATTCGTCCCTGAAATCAAAATCGGTATTTCCACACCTCATATGCAAATGAGGTCTGAGAACAAACAAAGTAGCCCCTTCAGGAGTAGCGTTTTTCGAAACATATCAGAAATAAACAATATTTGGAAGTATGATATTTTTTTCTGAATGAATATACTTGCCGAGTGAAATAAAATTTGAGCAACAGTAATGGTAATTTTAGGCAGTCACTTATTTTTACTAAAACTAATTTGCATATGACCCATGCAATAATATTTTCGGTGTTTTCACGGTCGATATGCAAATGAGCATGGTATTTCAATTGGCTACCGAATTATTTTTATTTTGTAAACACATTTTCGGCTAGTATTTGTCCGGTTCAAATTGTTCAGCAGCATTTGTGCCATGTTACGTGTACATCACATGGAATACTACGATTGGGAGAACTTAATGTATGTTGACCACCTGGAAACTGAGTTTTATAAACTTTGAATGGCTCTCGGAAGATCCACTCGGTGCCGCAGCCGGAACCCGAAGTAAAATCAGCGATTACTATGGAGCCGCAACCATCAACATCGAGATACCAGGAGGTTTCTGCTGGCGACGTTGCAAAGTTACTCAGTTCAAATAAAGATTACCAACGCCAAATGAGCAACATTTAACCGGTAACCAAGACTCAGTAAATTGACGACCAAAAGCAACATCACAAACGAAGTTGTAGTGTGCAGCTCAGCGACGACCGATGTCGACGAAAGTCATCCCATCAATGGAGTACCGCAGTTGCACGGCACGTTTGCCAATGCACAGATCTGTAGAGGAACTTAAACTGTGTATCATAGTCGTCCAATTCAAGTTCTGGTTCTGTCATGGTTACAACTAAACGTCCACGAGTTATTTATTAGGACAGTGACTCAGATTAGACGTCTTATTATTTGACACGCGTTGCTAGGACGTAACACTATCTTGGAACATATTAATGGGCAATGGGATTCCCCGACCTTAATTCCATTCCGGTTTGTTCCACGTTCTTTCTTTAATATGAAATAATCAAATATAGATGCGGTGTATTCTGCTGTACTTTCACTCGCTTCGCTCGTGAAAGTACGGCCGCAGGATATACCGCATCACTCGTGAAAATGACTTCCATACGCAACGAAAGCCATGGGGAGGGTGTGGGGTTCCGTCATATTATATTTCAATGTATTTCCAAGGTAATTTTATAAAAACTGAACCAAATTTGTACAAATACAAACATATATTGTGTATACATTTATGTTATATATACAGAAAGCCAATTTCGTCACAAAAGAAAGCAAACTGTTTGTCGTCCATGTGAATGTAATATCCTTCTTTTTTTAGAGCGTTTGCTTCTCGACTTTAGTTTTATTAATTTGGTATTAGTATACACATACGTCTGTGTGTATCCGAGAGATATTAAGTTTTAGTTGGTAATTTACTACTTATGTGTGCTTATATATACCGGACCTAAAGTTTTTAAACTAGATAAACAATTTTTGTGACTGTTTACCTGAGCCTTTGCTCTTTGAATTTCAAAATAAGTCATTGAAGATTTAATAACCACTATGTGGGAATTGGGGTTTTGTATTTACAAGACTGCGAGTCAAATACAGCAGGGGATCTGAGTGATGGCTTGGGGCATAGAAGCCTTTAGGTGCGAAACCATTATTGTCTGAACCATCTTGCTGCCAGCCGCTGATCGGTATACCGGTTGTGGCGGTACCTTCTTTAGCAGCAGTCTCTTTTATATAGGCTGTAAAATAAACAGAACGGACAATTCATATCGTATACAGGTAAATAGTGTCACGGAAAGACAACAACAATACGTAGAATAACGGTAAAAATGAAACTGTCTTTTGATATTATTATTTATAGCCTCCCAGAAACCATTGCATAGCAATATTGCATTTTATTATACCAATCTTGAAGCCGATCACTGAGTGTTGTGTCTTCCTTCATTCAATTAATGATACATCAAAATAATACCATTTTTGCCAAAAAACTAACAAGTAGACATATTTACACACTCATGTAGTACAGACTTTTTGGTATGAATTGATGTATTCTAAAAACTGATTTGCATATAATTATCGTATTGTTTTGGCAACACTAGATTTTTTTTAGGAACAAAGCACTTTAGTTATAAGATAATTTCATATCTCATGCAGTATGAAAAAAATATCAATAACAATCAAATATAAAGTCATAGTAACAACATTTACATGAGCAATAGAGAGATTGGGTATTCATATACAACACATTGTGATATGGCTTCATGATTAGAGCAAGGAGGCCACGATAAAAGAAACATTGACACTCCTACTGCGGATCTCTTATCAATGTACCATATAACCATATTGTAGTTTGGCATTAAATTTCGATTGGCTGTTGCAATATCACGTGATTAAGATTAAAATGGCAGCCAGTCATTGGTCAAGATACCCTTAAAAGGAGAAATCGGAATACCAATCGAGGAGATCCCCGACCCGAGGATCCCCATGCACGAAGGACGTCCCCGAGACCTCACCCATGTCTTTATGACGGAACTGTTCTGTTTTGTCGTTTTACAACGACGAACTAACTCTACTTATTGGCCTGAGGCAGTTGATCCCAAAGTTTACTTACTCACATTTGCCAACTTATGATCCGAACCAGGTCGATATATTACATTCCTTTCCCCAAAAACTGAAACTATTCCCCGACTCCGAACTATGACTAATTACAAAATGACGATATTATTATAAATTAACGTTTAAGTGACACAGCTCTTACTTGTCCAATTCCTTTGCACGCCAAATATATTTGAGTTTTGGTTTTGCTTTTGGTCAACGTCATCTTCAGCGGTTGGACCTTGGATGGAAGCTGTAATATAAACAGGAAGAGCATTTTGCAAAAAAAAAAACATAAATATTGCCTATACAGGTAAAGTATGGCGCATACACATCCTTCCACAAATTTTTTGTCTGACATAGAATCATAGAATGTATGAATCATTTTTAGCAATGATATTGCTAGAAACATATTCTTTGACAAACGATTCAATATGGTCAGGGAGAACAGTAAATGAGAAAGCAACAAGATGGCATGGCATTTTCATTTCTTGATTGAAATTACTTGTATATATATATATATATATATATATATATATATATATATATATATAATATATATTATTATGACATCGACCTTTTTAAGTTATCAAGAAATTAAATGCAACAGCAAATGTTTTGCATAACGAAAATTAGGTCCTCTTTTCTAAACCATTCTACATAGAAAATCAAGAAAAACTTGGCATGTACACTTATTTTAACAAGGATTAATTGCAGATTTGCATAACTATATTGTAGTTTTGAGAATATGTTTGGTAACCTTTGAACAACTGGTTATAGCTTGCTAAACATTGCATTATCATAAATGTGTGATTCCTTTAAAAAACATTTTGTTAAAATTCAAAATATTGTTAGTCTTATATATTGGAGAACATTGGCTTTATTGTTGTACATTGACAGAGATGACACAAGAGTTACTTTG